CTCTCGTTTTCGTCTCTCTTTATTCTTATCTGTCGCCTTGTTCTATCTGCACGTGCTTTTCTCTCGGCTGACTCGTCCCTCCTCCTGCGATCTTCCTCTTTGCTCCTGTGTCCTCTCACGTGTCTCTGTGCTTCATGTGCTACTCTCTAATGCGCTATTTCTTAACATATTCCACTCCCTCTCTCCCCCCTTTCTCTCTCCTCCCCCCTCTCTCCCACTCTCATTCTCTCTCCCTCCCTCCCTCTCTCCCTCTCTCTCTCTCTCCCTCTCTGAGAAGCCATCGAGCCTAGATATCCACCCCCGACCACTCAGAGAATCCGTCGGGAGCGAGAACCTTTACTGCGAACTATGAATTATAAACGATGAACTGCAATGTTGATGTTGATGTTGACGATGATGTTTCAAGTATAAATAAATAAGTCGATAGAGAGGCAGAGAGCTAGAATGATACAAAGAACCTCGTTTTTTTTTAACATCTTGATTTACTCCGCTGCCGCCCCCCCCCCCCCCCCTTCCTCCCAATGACTTTCCCAACATCTCTCCTTCTAATGGCGTAGACTTGTTCCCTTGTCCCCTCCCCTTCCCCCCCTCCCAAACCCTCCAAGACCAAAGAAAGAAAGAAACCCGGAAAGGAAAAAAAAGTCAAATTTCCCCCAACATGTCTAGGCGCACACAAATCTCAAGGAAGAACTGAACTCATGACTTGAAGTCCTCAAAAACCCCCTCGGGGAGACTAACGACCCCACACACTCACAAAAAAAGAGAGGGAAAAGGAAAAGGAAAAAGAGAAAAGAGAGGGGGGGAGAGTCGAGAGATGTGAGGCTGTGAAGAGAATGAGAGAATAAAAAAGGAAGGGCAGGGAGGGAGGAGGAAGGCTCTGCTGCCGGTATAGACTGAGTTGTTGGTTCAAATCAATCAAGCAGACTGCTCCCGACGACGACGATTGAGAACCTTGACCACGCCACGGCTCATCACTTTCCACGATGACCATTGGTCGCTACAGTGTTTTAGCAGATATCTCCGCTGGACCAGGGGAATAAACCCTAGGCACACTCGATATTGCTTGTTGGGGTCACCGGCATCGTCGTCTTCGTCGTCACTATCCCGAGCCTTCCGCTTCCGATGTTGCGCGCGCTCATAGGGTTCCTGGAATTCGGGCCACCAGATGATCCAATCCTCATGCAGTCGCCGCGTCAGGTGGATCTGAAATTCCAACGCATCTCGAAATAGGTCGTTCAGCGACCTCCGGATCGAAGCCATTTTCAGCGATTCTTGGAGGCGCGGTGATGGGCGAGACATCTCCTTGCGTGGCTCGCGCAACGGCAAGCCGTAGACATCGGGATCCCAGAACGTCCCCTTGTCCAAAGGCTCCTTGCGGAGCACAATGTCGATATATGCCAGTAACATGGCTCCCATGTGATGCGCTTCAGACTCGACGGTGTGGATCACGTTGGAATTTAGATGCTCGTTCCATAACCGTCGCCGTACAGCTTCTCCGAGTTCTGGGGCAAATGCTGCAGAAGAAAGTGATTAGACTCACGCGACGAAGCTTCGAACATGGAGAGAGAGAGACGAACATTTCTTTATGACTGATTCAACGACACCTTCACCAAGCTCGGCCAGCCAGGCCCTCGGATACACTGCAGGTTGAAGGGCCCACTTTGTGACAGCCTTGCCAATGAATGATTTGAGAAAATCGCCCACCGAGGTTTGGGTTTGCAGAAAAGCGACGACTGCCTCGGCTTGGCGGTTGGCCTCATCATAAAGTCTCATTCCAAGCATGCCAGTTATGATGGCACGGCACTCGTCAGGATATTGAAGTCTCGTGTCAAGGATGATGGGTTGGCTTTGTGGTATATCCGAAGCCTCGAAATAGAAGCAGATGATAGATTTGATCCGGGACTCAATACCTGACATGGCCGACACTATCAGCTTTTCTTGCAGTATGTCGTCTGTGATGGTGTAGATATCACGGTCAAAGGCATTCATGTCAAAAAAGGGACCCTCTTCACTGTCCGCTTCGCCCCTCATCAGTACCGGAAGTTTGGAGAAATCGGTAGAGGCGTTTGATCTTAATCCAGGGCCTGGGAGCTTGTCCTGTTGAATGGGAGCCATGTTATGCGTGCGCCCAGTGGATGGCATATCGTTCCCAGATGTGGTTGATCCGACACCTCTACGACACCAAAAGCCAAAGAAGTATTAGCACATGTCAAGCACTAGACTTGGAGAGAGCTTGAGGCCAAGGTCACGGGTCTGGGAGCAGCATAGGAATACTAACCTGGAGTTTGGGTTGGGTTGGCGCTGATCATTTTGGGGCTCTGGCTCCTTGGCCGAGCCATTCAGAGGGCTCTTCCGTCTCCGATCCACTCGTTGTTCTCGAGTGCTGTGTGCTTGATCTTCAGGGCCATTCTTCGTACGGCGGCGTTTATCTGCTCGCCTAGGTCGTTCATCGTTGCTCGATTCATAGTCGTCTGTGGTGGCGGTTGTGCTTCGATTGCCTTTCTTCTTGAACGAAGCGAGCTCGTCTTTGGTGTACGCTCGAGCGACAGGTTTGTCGTGGAGCTTGTCCCAGTCAAGCGCCTCGATGCCGTCTCTAAAGAAAGTCTCGACGGCGGACGACTGGCAACTCTCAAGTCTGTACTGCCACAGATATTTGATTCGTTGTTCGACGTTGGACACCAAAAGTCCCTTGGAGAAGGATGCGTTGTCTTGAAATTTGGTACGAAGACACTTGACCAGTTCCGTGAGTGCTTGTGTATAGTTCTGGATCAATGCGCCTTGAGGCCCTTTGTGGTCGTCAATCCATTCGACGAGGGCTCGTTGAGCGAGAGGTGGCCAGTTGATGGACTTCGTCATGCTGGATATCGTGAGAGACTGGGGTGTTTGTTGCAAATTTGCGAAAACAGAATGGAATGCGCCCGGGGTTTGGGATGAGTAGGATTTATATATCGTCAAACAACCAAGATCTAGCAAACAAGGAGAGCTTGTGGAGCCTGCAACAACATGTTTGCGGTGGCATTCTGTGGGTTCTTATACCGGCTTTCAAGGGGGTCCGGGCCAATCCTTGGTGCATTCCATTTCTGACCAGGGTGGCGGCTGGTTGACAGCTGTTTTCAGTGTTTGTTTGCGGAACCTTGCCTGCCACATTCCAGACCCCGGCTCCATGCTTCTGTGCCCACCGGGAGCAAACTTCAGATGTGCTTTTGCTGGCGCTTGGGGGGGCCCCCATCCCCCGACAATCTTGCAGAAAGCATGGCAGCGATAGGATTGATGAGGATCCCACTCCGTGGTTGCTCAACAAGCCCAAAGATGTTGTCGTATCGTAGGAAATAGAGAGCCTGACGTGGTGATGCTAGCGGAGCAGCGCCCACAGAGTCGCGTCGTAGTGGGCGATGTGTACGAAGAGTGATGATACCACTCTGCCCAAATCGCCACTTCTGTCAGGAATCCCCTTTCTTCCTCTAGAGTTAAAAGAAGCCATGCTCAACCAATGCCGTTTGCTGCCGCGTGTCGATGCATGTCGACACCCTAAACCATCCACATAGCAAATCCTGTGGTCATCGCACCAAAGGAAGCAAATGTTCGGTAGCAAACCCATAGCAAAGAACAAGAGAGATATGATCAGTCTTGCTCCAAACCAGGGGTCAGGAGTCCTTCTATCTTCAAAGTTACATTTCACCTCATTGACATGGGCACGGCATCGTATGCCTTTTGACCTCCTCTTGTTTTCCATCCGTACTCAACCGTCCATACTCAACCAGGAATGTCTACCACAGCGATCCCGGCGTCGACAATGACGCCAACAGACGTCCGAACGATGATCAAGAATTATCCGCGGAGTCCCGGTTCTGGAATCACCCTATTATTAAGTCTCGATTTCGGGACTGTGCACTCCACCGCTGCGGTTCAGATCGTGCAGGAGTCCTGCGGTTCGGTATCGGGAAACGTCAAGTTCCGGGAAGAACTCCTTGTCGGCATGCGACAGCGGCAGAGTCACCGCGTGCCCTCAAAGGTAGCCATTACATCCCGGTGTGCCAGAGCACTTGGCGAGCCGAAACGGTGTGTGTTGATATTCGGTCACGCCGTCGATAAGGCCCTGGAGGACGGCAGGATCGCCAATGAAAATGTGTTCGATCTGTTGAAATTGTTCCTGTTCCCCGAATATGCCAGCGACGACAGCGCAACTGCCGGCGATCGACTGATGAAACTGACCAGAGCAAAGCACGATGCTCTGATCGAGAAAATTGCGAAGGTTCATGGTGGGAAGGTCTTGTATAGGGATCGCCTGGATGAACCTAAGTGGGAAGTCCATGACATGGGAGATATCGTTGTTGCTTACCTACATTTCATTTGGCACGGCACTCTGTTAGAGGTTGCTCACAAGTACGACATCGACACCGACAACCCGAACCCCATGTTCGAGAACCTCTGCCAGATCTTTGCAAACAAGACGCACGTCGCAGTATCTGTGCCCACCGTGTGGCAACGGGAGACGCAAGAGCATTTCTTGAACCTCTTGGGTCGCGCCGGATTCCCCGGCTCGACCGCGGTCGTCTCGGAAGCAGTCTCTGCGGCCATAGGCTACCTCAACAAGATGTCGGAGTTCGAAAGCCACACAGGCGAGCCAGAGAACATGATTGTTGCAGATATTGGTGTAAGATGCCCAGACTCCGCACAAAAGTCGTCAAAGGGTCCCGGACCTGGGTTTTCATGAGAATGTATTGACCGCTGACGAGAAAACAGGGAGCGACCCTAGGTGTGGCTGGAGTCAGGAAGTACTTTCGAGATGGTCTGGCCCGGTTTGGGGAAATCGTGCCTGAAAAGGGCGCGATCAACGGTTCTCTCCTGGTCAACCAAGCGATTAAGGATCACCTCGACGACAAAACGAATCGCCAAACCTTGAAGACTGTCCTCAAGCACCTCGACTGGGAGGAAGACGAATGGTCCCAGCACATCAAATATGGCATCGAGGAAGCAAAAAGACTCTTCGAGAACACTGATTCAGCGTGCTTGATACCGTTGCCGGGTTTGGGGCGGGTACGTGATTTAGAGCCTCGGATTTGCCGCAGCCTGCTCCCAGGTTCGCAACTCACAGTCAACGGGTTGATCATCGGCAACGACGTGCTGACAAAAATTCATGACGAGTGGCTGAAGGAAATCGTCGACGTTATCAGAGAATGCCAGAACGATTTCCAACAGCGCTATCCCAAACAACCGCTCCCTCCTCTCAAGCTGTGTGGATGGGGTTCTTTGCCACGTTATGTCTTGCAGAAGTGCACAGGCGTCTTCCAAGGATTCCCGGTCACTCTTTTGGAAGATCAGGTTACTCCTATCGTCGCGAACGGAAATTTGGTGACATTGCTTCGCGCAGACCTGTTCTTCGAAGTACCGGCTTGCCGCAGCTATGGCATCAGACACGACATACCTTGGCAAGATGTCGAGGAGGCCCATCAACGAAGGTCGGAGTTAGAAGAGGCACGGACGGATGATGGGGATTACCTCCTCGACCGTGCTCTGTGGGTCGTGGAAAAGGGTCAAAGCCTCATCCATCCGACAAAAACATTCACTGTGCAGAGTAAGAAACGCTTGTCGGCGAGCGACATGAAACGGGCTTTTCCATTCGAGTGGATAATTGACATTGTTGCGAGCGATTCGCTTCACGTCGGCTCTACCGACAAATATGTGAGCGTCTCACAAGCACTTGCAGCCAACACAATTCAGATTGTTGGAGAATACTCAATGAAAATCCAGCAACAAGACTGCAAGATCAAAGCCATTCGCTGGGACCCGGCTTTGCAAGAACCGGCGTATATCGAGTTCGAATTTCGGGTGAGGGTGGATTGCAGCAAGATCCGCCCACATGTTGAAATATCGATACCTAGGAGCAACGGGATATTCAGACAAAAGTTGACGGACCCCGTGAAGGGGGAAAGCGAGCCCTGCCACGCAATTTCAGCTTCTCTGGGGTCTTTCCTCGCCCACACCACTTTTCAAGACAATGAAAAAGCTCGGCTTGATGTTGAGGAAGAACTCAACGAGCAGGACAACGAGGCAAGAATGGATACAGATTGATGATTTCTGTGGGCAGAGGGAAGAGCCAGGCGAGGGGAATGACAGTTGGGTGGCAGGACAGGAAGGATTGACGGGTGTCACCCACGGTGTTGTTATTGTTGGAAGTTGGTTGATGCCAAGATTGCCAAGACGGCCGTGCCCGAGATCAGCGAGGGAAGCCGCGGACCGTGGAGAAGGAACATGCGAGGACATGCAATCCATGGTGATAGAAAAAAGGACACTGGGACGGATGAATCTGCGTTTGATTTGTATTCTACCTCTATCAATGTTATGGTACGGAGTTCCGAATGGTCCTTATTGGATTTTGTGCAAAGGCGCAGCCCTACATAGATACACCTCCAGAATTCCGCAAGCCATGAGAAGCACCGCGTCTCAGATGCATCGGTTGGCTGTTCTCTGCATAGGGCGAGCCGCAGTGACGGGGTATCCATCTTACCGGGCCAACTTCTGCTTCGTGCATCAAAGGGACGACAACTTGGCAAGAACGAGACGAGACGACGAACTCACCCCACGGTATGTGGCAACTCCAAAAGGTCCAGCCAGCCTCCCGACGAAGGGAAACAATTCCAGGTGCAATACGTGGCTCGAGTGAGGGGCCATCAAAGCACAACAAGATGTGTACAGTGGGACAGACACAGGTAGACCAGAGCTCTAACATATCCTCCGCGTGTCAATCATTCAGAAGTCCACAAGTCCCTCCCAATGATGAAGGATCAAATGTGGAAGCGTTTGTACCCTTCCACCAGCCCATCTGCTCTTTTCGTGATTGCCGCCCATGCTGGAACATAATGCATCGCCTCGTCGAAAGCTGGTATGACCCCGTTCCTGTTTGCGTCACTCCATAGACATACCACTCGACCGGATATTGTGCTGTTGTCCCCCGAGATCTTGGAATGGTACAGATTGATAGAGTCCCTTGACTCGTCAGGAGTAGCAATCGGGTTGTCCCAGCTGACGTCCACAGTCCAAGCCCTCCCCCATGTGCGGCTCCACAGCCTGATCTCTTGACTACCACCTTCAGGCACAGGGGGGAACCGTGCGTCCCTCGACGCCTGCCCAGTTACGTGGAAGTCTGTGATCGGTGCCGTCTCAAAGACGAGCTTACAAGCACGAGTGTTTCTCCCGAAGACCACGAAGCGAGCTTGGTTCTTGCCATCACTGTTGTTCAGGCGCGTGACGTTGAAGCTGAGCCAGCTGGCGTACTGTTCCTTGGGGGAGATAGCAGTAGAGTTTTTGACCACAATGGGGGGGATGCCCGGCCACGAACAGGTCTGCATGTTGCCATAAATCAAAGCGCCCGTGGGTACACAGGTGATATGCTCTCCGGCGGAACTGGGTATGTAGTTGACAGCCTGGCGAGTGTACGGCGAAACTCCGGTCAGAAACACCGTGTTGTTCCCTGCTTCTAGGTCCACTTGTTGTTGAAAAAAAAGCTTCAATCTATTGTCCGTGGAGAAAGGAAATGCGGTAAGGTTGTAGATCATGGTGCCGACAAAGACGAGGAGAAGGAACACAGGTATGTGCCAGGTGAAGCGGTGCAGAATAGGCGTGATTGGGGAGAAGAGGATTATTGTGCAGGCAGCCACCATAATGTACAACAGAAACATGGAACTTCCGTCCTGTCCTGTCTGGTGAAGCCCTTCGGTTAGTAAGAGGCCAATCTGACCGACGACAACGAGGTTGATGGGAACAAGGACGAGGAGCTGCAACAGCCATAGCCAAGACCATTGGGATTTGCTCCAATCGGGCTCTTCGATCGCGTCAGTTTGATCCTCGACGGCCGCAATGCTTGGATTCGGTTCTTCTCTCCCTTGTCGGTATCCCCTTCTCAAAAGACTCGACCTCTCCGTGGGTTCACCGTCATCATTGGGGGTCGAATATTCTGCAGCCTCTTCCTGCCCGCTACCTGAACCGGTATGGCGCTGGGACGGCTCGTCTTCGCAATCGAAACGCTGGCAATACACCGATTTCTTGGGCAGGGAGAATAGCTCCAGGTAGGACAACCATGTAGCCAGCCAAACGAGAGCGGCATATATGAGGACAAAGTATATACCGACGAGGTGGAGCTGTTCTTCAAACACCGTTGCAACGACAAGGAGCACCCACCACGCTCCCCACATCCATGAGAACCCATATACGCGAGTGAGAGAAGAGGGCCGTGTGTAGTCCGCAGCTCGGGAGAAGAACCACGCGACAAAGACAAAGGAGGAAATCATCATGGCCCACACTGCCCACTCACTGCTGTGGGCGATGTATTGATTTTCCTTGAAAATCAGGTATGCCAGGGCAATTGGGACCGCACAGGCTACAAGCGAGATGAGCGGGAAACGGAAAAGGCCACGCCATCCGTAGAGCTTGATCCTCTCGTCTCCACTCGATTGATGAAGAGGTCGTGATGCGGAGAAAAGGTAAAATTTGTCGACTCGATACAATAGAGCAATAGTGAGGAGGAGTATCACCGGTCCAACAACAAGCAGAGTCACCGATAGAGCAAAGAAAGTGTGGGCTTTCAGGATAGCAAACGTTCGCCCGAATACATCGAACCAGAGTGACGGACCTCCTGGGTTGTGCCCTGGGTCTAGGTTGGTCGTCAGCGACGTCGATGTCAGAGCTTCCGTCGTCGCCACGGCCGCGGATAGCATGTGCCAGAGAGACCCTTTCCCTGTGTGGCGCGAATCATCTTGGTCGGTATGATATCTTGCCCTCGGTCCAATGAAGGCAACGTCCAATCCACGGTAACCTAGCTTACCATTGAACACGACGTAGTCTGTTTGACTCCTGACCAACCCTCGATTGAAACCATCGGCCGAGGTGGACGAACCAAATGGGTACTTGGACTGGGCGTAGGCTTTCGTGACGGCTTCGTCGGTGCTTCGAAAAAGTGCAGCCCGGCCCCCTGCACCCGCTCCCTCTAGATTGAGGAATGAGCTCACAATCATGGACATGGGATGCTGGCTAAAGACATTTGCTCCATTTAAAAAGTCCTCCTCGCCGTTGTTCAGGATGAGCACCACTCCATTTTTCGGTGTGTTTGCGGGTGTCGTGAAGTATTTGAGTAGTTGCAACACGCAGACGACTCCGACGCCGTCGTCTGTAGCGCCGAAACCCGTAGAGACACTGTCATAGTGCGCATTCACCAAGACTGCATTGCGTTTGGATGGTTTGCCCTCCGGATCGAGCCACCATGTTGTTTTGTCATCTTCCTTTCCTGGTATGTAGACGATGAGGTTGGTGCCCTCGAAGTAGACCGACACGCCCGGGCCAGACAGAATTCCAGCGGAAGAAAAGGTGAGATTGGAGGTATTGTCTTCGAAAATGTATGGAGCAGCATTGTTTTCTTTTGCAATGGACTTGATCCGTTTGAGGAGCCACTCGTGGACTTGGTCGTTGCGACGGCTGTTGTAAGGATGGTAAGACGCAGTGAGAAGCTGCAGGTCCAGCCACGCTTCTGTCAGATTAACGCCATGGATGGGAGTGGGCGAGGAGGGAGGGGACGGGACAGTCGTATGGACGATGAGGAGAGCAACAATAATAATGAGGTAAATAGTCGACGTGATGATGGTGACAGGCCAACGAGTGAAAGCGAAAGGATTGGAGAGCCTCGCCATGGCAGACGAAACACAAATCCAGCGGTCAAGGCATTAGGGAGAAACTAGTCAATACAACCAATTCATGAGGCGCGGAAGGGAGTAGTTAGTAGTTAGGCGAACGCGCAGGCCGATGTAGAAGGAAGAGAAAACCTATTATGAGGTTCTCAAAAGAGGCGCATTGGAGGGTTTATGCTCCCCGCGCGCTATTACGCAGGACGAGCTCTGCACATGCAAATCATCCTTGCAGGCAAGCTGCTCCTCGAGCAGCCAATAGTAGACTGTTAAAATGCCAAGGCGCCTTGTCATATTTGGCACTAGCGGGGTGTCTTGGGAGGCCCCAGTCCATCCTTGTGATACGGCGGAGCATTTGTTGGCCTGATTCCGCTCTTCTTTCTTGGGTGTAACAGCCACTATATAACTCTGAAGGAGAAAATGGTAGCACAGCCGATATGTAAAGCTAAGTTTGAGAAGTGCTCTGCTATCCAAGCCCTCGTCTATGTTCTTGTTTGATACTCGTCGACGCTTCTACATTGCAATAATCCTATCGTATCAACACTAATTCAGGTTGGTCTCGACGTAGAGCCGAGAGAAGAGTCGTTTTGCTAGCCTCGTCCTCCAGGCTGACCGACGAATTCAGCAGCTCGATCTACCTCACTTGCCACGGCGGAATGGCATTGAGTGCCGTGTGTGCTCGCTGACTGCTCAGTGGTACTTTTCTACCGATACTGATTCGTGGTCTGGCCGAAACCCGACGGACAAGGTCCAACATATCAAGCTTTGAGATATAGCGATTAACAGCAAGCCAAGGATGTTCCTCGCCCGGCGCCGCACCCTTGCCCCGACTCTGTGAGAGTAAAGCACGCCACCACTTCCGGCCGATCAATTCCTCCGAACAGATAAACAGGCCAGGACCCAGATAACAAGACGATGAGACCGATAAACCCCCGCCAGGAACCCCCCAGTGTTTTCAGCCAGGGTGGTGTAAAGGATGAAATTAACCAGTGGGATAATCTTGCAATGTTTCCCATTGTGCCGCGCCGTGGACAATGGATGTCGATTGCTCTGGAACAGCTTTCTGGGGAGGGAGAGAGAATCCTAGGGCTGAGACGGCACGCGAGAGGCTGTCATAACTCGAGGCAAGAGAACAATGTGGGCGAAGACTTTCGGATAGACACGAAGCAGCCAAAGAGTACCACGGTCGAAAGCGGATAACGGCGGAGAGGTTGGACGCCTCAATAAAGACCTGTTCTTCTATGGTTTCTGCTTACCCCGACACGACACGAACTCGGGTGGCCAGGCGGGACTTGCTCGCGCCAGGGACATAGGTCATGGACGTGACATCTAGCGCTATCACTGAATCGTCACTAAAGCCGTGTCTAGTGGTGACCAGTACGGGGGCTGCTGGTATCTAGATGGTCGTCAAAGACAGGCTGTCAACCGTGTTAGAGAACGTGCGAGATCTGAAATGCGTGTATAGAAAACAGGACGCAACTCAAACCTCAACCAAACAATTAATCCTGTCCATATGTCTCCACAAGAATCACGTTCGGCTCCGACCCACCGAAGTCCCATTCGACACGAAAGCTGGGGTGGCTTACTTACCGTATCTTTTCCCAAGCTCTTCACGTACGAGCACGTCTTTTTCTCGGGACGTTTGGTGTGTCCCCTCAAGAAATCACCCAACACTTGGTGGGCCTGTTGAACCGCAACGTGGGCCCCCGGACCAGTTGCTATTCGCAGGGAGCATTTCCCCATGTCTGTGGGCAGAGCCTTTTTGGGTCAGCATGGCGTCAGCATGGCGTCGGCAACCAATGACACGACCATCGATGCTTGCTCTGTTGTTTGTTTCTGAGCCACAGGATCTAGAAGCACCGTGGCGCATCTTATTGTCCAAAGGGACATCGACTGGTCGAACGCGGCATCGTAGGTCGGTGGTTTTATTGGTATCCATCTGGCAAAGAAGCGGAGGGACTCTGAATACTTAACTCCGAAACGAGTGGTGCGGTATTGCTTGTGATATCGCGGGCGAGGACCGTTGATTGCGCTCTACCAGGGGAGGTTCCTCAAAGCAAAAAGGTCGGCGTCTACATCCCTTATCCCTTTTACGCATCTCGAAAGGAAGCATCATCGAAGATGGACACCAGCACCCTCTGCAGATGATCAACCTCAGATCGTGGAGCGTGACGGAAGTCGGTATATTCCGCCGCAAGTGACGACACCTTTGCACTCCCAAACAATGGGACAGCTTCGGAAGATGCGTGGCCAGCCACTGCGAAATCCCTCGCGCAATACCCGGGTCGAAGATAGAAACATGTCTCTGATCTGCAACTAAAGGGCAGGGTCAAATATAGAAGACTCTTCGTCCGCTTCCATGGAAAGTGTATCGATGCGGGACAAGGGCGTCGTGGCAGCCATTGTGTCTTTCATCTTGAGCGCTGTGGACTGGCACCTTATTGACGGAGGTCCGAAGTTGGGATCCGTCAATGCATGGTGTTTCTTGTATCGTGTGGAAGAGACGAATCCAGCTATCTGACAAGCGAAGTCTCTGTCTCACGGGAGCCTTGCCGCGCAACATGATACCTCGGTTGGGTGATCCGAATGGAGCGAGAAGGGGTGTAAGAAAGCTTTCTCAAAAGCTCTGATGCGAGCTCGGTAACGATACTATGTTCTATCGGAGGCGCTTCCGCGTATGCCGCCCGCGACCATGCGTATAGGTGGCATGGAATAATTCGACAGCGTAGATGAATCGAGCCATAGAAACTCCACTTCGAAGCGACGGAGTCCGGTCCATGAATGGTCACACCTCAGTCTGCCTATCATTTCGGTGCTTAACAAGCAGGCGACGTCATGAAAAAAACCCAGACTGCAGGTACGGTCGTGCTCTCAAAATAGCTCAGCCTGGATGAGGGAGAGAAACGTGGTCGTACTTACAGTGGCAGCTGGAGTACATCCTTGCCATAGTTTTTCGGCATTCAGCCGCAGGAAGGGAGCGGCACAGACCCTGAGAAGCCTTGCTCCCACACCCGCATAAAACAGAGCGGTGGACATGGAGATCGATCCCGAAGTGTGGAAGTGTCTGGGGAAAATCGATGGAATTGGGAACATCACCCGCCACGTTCCAGTCCAGTTTGCAGTCAACCTTGTGCGATCCACAGTTATGTATGCTGGATCCGGCATTTGAGCACTGGAGCAAAGCCATGACTGCCACGTATGCCATTAACAGAGGGCTTCGGGTGATGTTTGATATTTTGTCCCTCCATTGCAACCGAACCAGGAAACGATTCTCCCCTGACAATATGTCCCCGGATCAACATCGCTGCTGCCACAAAGACACGACGACACGGCAGTCAAAGTCGAAGATGAGAGCCTCTGCCCAAACTCAAGCCACAAGGCGTTTTCAGCGTGCCTGCGAGTGGGGTGATCAATGGACCAATCTGACAATGTACTATATATACATACAGACAGGAAAGGGCGGCAAAATGACAGCCAGATTTGCTTGGCACTGGGAATGACTCTGCGGCTCGCTGCACTCTGTAAGCACGGAATGGCAGTGGACAGGTAGGAGTGACCACTCGCAGAATGGCCGTGGCCAAGTAGCAGAGGGCGATAGAGCTCATCAAGAAGGAGAAGAAGCGCTGGCTGAGACGAAGGGAGCGGGAAGGAGTTTGAGGAGACGTCGGAGAAATTTTTCCTATGGTCGGACGGAAATTCACCGAGGCTCCGACATGCCGATGGTGCTGGACTGCCTGCGCTGGACTGCGTTTCGATTTGTCCTGCGCTGGTTGATCACGAACCTCGTCTCTACCAATCCATCTCTCCATCGCTTCATCCGTATCCGTCCACCCTTCCATCTACCCCATCAGACGTCAAGTTTGGCCTTAGTCAAACTCTTTGCCTCTTGGAGTGCGTGAATGCGCCCTTATCAGATCACAACCTGCATCATCACCCTTTGCCACTCGAATTCGTCCGTGCAGCCACCAGGCAGTAGCCCACACTCCGCTTCATAAGGCGTAAACCACTCATGTTCTTACATCCTGGTCGACCGCGTTCCCTCGGACTCGCCCAATCATGCGGCTCCATCTAGCCTTATTCCCGTTGCGGTAGCTGAGGAGCCCCCCTTCTGAAGCGACTACGAACTCCTCACCTTAACAGTGTCGCTTCCAATCCTCGCAAATCGAAAGCTATTGCGACGCGTCATTCTCTGGCCGCTCTGCTTCGTCCTGGCCCTGTCATATTTCCTCCGACGTACATTTGTCGGAGTCTTGGGAGGTAGGAAACACCGATAGAATTCAAAGGGGAAAGTATAAAGGGTACCTGGGAGAAGCATTTCTTTCACCTGACTGTGATTTCCGAGACCAAATCTCGTGGCCCGCTCTGTTAACCACTTGCTTCTTTCATTGTGTTGTTTTCAAAAACAGATTCCCCCAAGAGATTTCCTTCCATTACAGAGGATCTCACACGACTACAGACACTCGACATGGCCATGCATATGCCAACACTGTTGGCCCCCAACCTCTTCTATGTAGCCTCGTCCATCCTGATTGGCTCCACTATTGTTACATATCTCTTGAAATTCATCAAGCTCGACCTCAAACCCTTTCTGTCAACAAAGCCTGGCAAGGCCCTTGAAGTCAGCCTCCAGACCGCCTTTGAACGCTTCTTAAATGTACTATCCGTCTCAGACCCCCTCAGTCCTCCAACAAGCCCAACCACCATGTCTTCACGAGGCTACTTGGAGAGCATTCCCTACCGCCGTGGGTCTCGTCCCGAGGTTGAGGGCATTAGTAGCCCCATCCAAAAGACGCAACTTCCTCCGTGGGAAGAAAAGGACGTAGAAGACAGTCTGCGCAACCTCATCATCGATATTCCATCCCGCTACCCCCAGTCCACCTACCTAGGCCGCTCTACCTTTGAGCCCGAGTCCCCAATCTCTCTGTATGCCCGCCACCGCGTCTTCGACGAGACCAAGTATTACGGAGAGATCCTCAGTGCCAACACTGAAGACGGTTTCATCCACTCGACACTCCACCCCAGTGATGTCAAGATTGTTATTGAGAAGGGCTGGGGTCAGAGACATCCTCTTTCCGGCCGCGTCGGATCTCGATTCATGCGCCTCTTCAGCGCAAATCAGCCAAGCCATGTCGAGGGTTCTCAAGTTCTGCTCTACGCACCCAGGGATCAAGACGACTTGGAGGTTATTCAGAATATCATCAACGCGGCAGTCTGGTGGGTTGGAGGTATCGACAACAGAGTCGACGCTGAGAACTTCTGAGCCATATACGACATTCCTGCTCGTGGGATTGCTATGACATATAATTTACGACGGAGTGGAGAGGCGCTTGAATTCACGGTACAGCAGGACAATCTTTATTCCATGGCGACGAAGGCGTCAGGCCGGGGAACGGAAGTGAACGAAACCGAACTGGTGCTGAAGCCTTTTCCTCGTCCAAGAATTTTGAGGCCGAGGGAACTTTTGCAGCTCGACACGCACGCACCCATCTGTCCAGCTGTATAGGAGCGACGACAACAAACCACAGATCCAAAATAGAGACAAAGCCTAGAGAAATCTTTACAATTGCCCCTTGCGATGCATTGAGTGGCTCACGATGAAAGAAGAGAACCTTTTTAGCACTGTCTCCATACGTGTGTGTACCTGTGTACCTGTGTACCCGTTGGTGCCTTGCTGCATCGAGTCCAGTACCGTAGGCACTATATTGTACTGTACTGTACTATACCGAGCGCCATGCTGTACATCTCTCTGTACGTGCAAAACGGTCCAGGGTAGTCGTTTACAGGCATGTAATGTGAAGCCGCGAGCCGCGAGCCACGGGTCAAAGTACATAGGTAGGTACAATACCTACGAGGTACGAGGTCCATTATATATTACAATTATTATACACGCCCGTAAGTACCTAGGTACCTGGGGACCCGATGGAATCGGACCGCCGTACCGAGGTGCACGTACATGTACGTGTACGTGTACCTCGCGTTCCAGATTTAGAAGAGTGCCTGACTAACCAACTTACTTGCCTACTCGCCTGCTTGCACCCCTACCTGGGTAGGTGCTTAGGTATTTGCAGTAGGTGTCTGCCGCGCACACATGTATGCGTACACGTACACGTACACGTACGAGGTACTCGTACCTGCATGCCAGGCCGCGAGGCTGCAAAGGAAGAAAAGAAGGAAAGAACGCTCTGCCCCTTTATCTGGGATTCCCCCCCCCCCCCCCCTTTTTTTTCCCCCTTTTTTTTTTCTCAAAAAAAAAATCCCCTTGCCTCACTTTCATCTTTTATCGTTTATCGTCTACCTTTTACCCTGTTGATCATCTCTCTCTCTCTCTCTCTCACACACACACGCAGACAGATACAGATACAGTAACAATTTCTTTGCTTACTTGCTTTTTTATTTATTCACTTGCTTATATTTGATTTCCCTCTTTTCCTCCCTCCCTTCCTCCCTTCCTCCCTTCTTCGTTCTTAGGCTCACCCCCAAGCGCAACAGGGGGCGCTCCTCACCTACATCCTGTCCGGGCGTCTGACTCGATAGGAATAGGTTGCGCCTGGCGATGGAAAAGTAGCGAGGCCGTTGGTTTTTTTGGGGGGGAGATGGGACGAGATGGGATGGGATGGGATGGCTTCTTTGTTGTCCGTACGGCACGAGCACTAGGATGGGACATGTGGATAAGTAAAGAAGTACCTTGTAAGTACGGTATACCTGGTAAGTAAGTAAATAGTCCGTTCTGCCACGGTCCAGACCAGCACAGACCAGACCAACCCAGGCTGTGTGCTGTATGGAGCTGTCAGGTTCATCCTGAAGTCGAGTTGCTGCTATACCGCCGCAACCTGCCACGCCACTCCGCAAGCTTCCACTGGTACCGATCGATGGGTTGTGCCAACCTCGCTGCAGTGTCTGTAGACCGCCATATCAAATCCGCACAGCACATAAAGTCCATGACCATCCCATTTCGTAAAAGAGCATCCGTCCCACGCCTGACCCTGTCACCGTTTCACGTTGTTCCCATGTGCTAGTAGAGACTGGACCTCGCCGCTCGCTCAGTAGTACGTGGCATATTTGGAGGTGCCGTTCAGGACCTGGACGAAATTCCGCGCGATGATCCGGTCGGTTTGCTCGCTTGAGTTGAAAAGTGTAAGAGTTAGTCTTCCTCTACCAAAAAGGACATCAAGCTTGGTAGTTAAACTCTTCTCGAATTGCTCGCGCTCACATTCACATTCACATTCACAATGCTAGCCACTTACAACATGTTCCTCGAAAGAGCGGGGCAAAGTGAGAGGAGGATCAGAGATATGAGATGGAAATTGAAGATGGAGAGATGGGGGGAAATAGCTCACCTGGGATGCAGCTCGTCAAACCACAAATACCCATCCGAATTCGTGCCATTTTGCCTTTTCACGCACGTCTTTTGGTCCACGGTGCAGTGGTTCTCGTAGCCCCAGACGCTCTCGCCGCCCTGGGCCACACCGGTCCCGTTCAGGTACTGGGCCGGGGAGTTGTAGACGTCCGTGATGAGCGCGTGGGTGTCGAAGAGGGCGAAATGGGCACCCGGGTAGCGCTTCGCCACCAGGAGCTCGTAGGGGGTCTGGTACTTGAAGACGTTGTTGACCGTCGTGGTGAACTGCCGCATCGTGTACGCGATCTCGGTGTGGTTGGCCGGCTTGTTCGCCCAGTACTGGTTGGCGCCGACGCCGTGGAGCGTGTCGTTGGCGTACAAGGGAGCAAGGTCCAGTGGGGCCGTGTTCATGAGCACAAAGTGCCGGGCGCCGCTGGCGTAGAGCTTGTCGAACACGCTGTAGATGCACGATGTGTAGTCCGAGAGCACCTTGCCGGGGACTTGCGAGTCGGTGATGAACGCCCACACGCCGAGGTCGTTTGTGCCGATCCACAGCGCGTAGACGGCGTCCTGAGCTGTCAATTTGGGCGAAAAGAGTTGCACGGCGGGCGTGGAGTTGACTCGCGTCGCTGGGATGTCGGCGATGAAGGCCGGGATCTCGTACTCTAAGACGGAGGGGAAAGGCGCATTGATCGCAGGGAGCCACCTAAATAAGAGTATCTGGTCAACGTACCGCCTGACAAAGCACACCACTCTCCGGGTCCCAACACGAACCTTGGCGTGATGTTGTTGGAGCACACAGCGCCCGAGACGGCGTAATCATAGAGCGTCATCTGAGGAGTCCACTGGCCCTGCACTGTCGCTCCGGTATACTGTACGACGTATCTGGGCCAAGTTCTGCCGCCGCTGGGGGCACTGAACGTCTCTGGGAGCAAAGCGCCGACAGGCGGGGCAGAGCCATTGTGATTGATGAACCATCCCAGGCGAGACTCATCTGTATAGCTGTCGCCAAAGGTGATGAGAGAGTTGAAGTTCTGAAGCGACCATGGTTTGTTGCTGCTCTGACGGGGGACAGCTGTGCTGGTGGTCGATGTGGCCAGCAGAGACACGCCGAGGGCGAGAAACCCAGCGTGAGAGTAGAAGAATTTCATCCTGAAAGTACACTCCACCTTGGATCAGTAGTAATTCGCCCCCCTTGACACATTCGGAAGAGCAGAAATCGCTGGCGGAGAAGGGTTTTTATACCCGTCTTCTCCTCCTCTTTTACAGAACTGCACCTAGCTCACTCTGGCTTCGACCTGGGTCAACGTCACGGGAAAATTTCACAAAATCCCCCATTTCCAACGCGGAGGATTGTCGGTAGGACAGGTGATCCGGGAACAGAGAAAGCGGCATCGTCGTCCAATGACGATAGATGGTGGACACAACCACCAGGGTGGCGGCGGCGCGGTTGAACGGTAGTGAGGAGGGTTGGAGGAGACGGGAAAGCTTGATTCCACGCGTCATTGACGTTCGAGCCTCGACAGAATTGGAAGTTGATGTTCACGCCTTGCTGGATGGGGTGAGTCGAGGTGGTCGAGTTATGCCGGAAATCAGCCTGAAAGGATGTTCGCCTCATCCCCCGCAGTTGTTGTGGGCAAGTGGAGGTGCGGAGGATTCCAAAACAGGGCCGGACTCGTGATCCTCCTCTTGTCGTTCCCACCAGTTACAGATTGACGGTAAAAGGAGATTCGATCGCTTGAACCTTGGTGGAAGAGATGGACCTAGAATCCAAACCAACAAGGCGCAGGCGTGAAAGGAAACGAGGCTGTCAGCCTTGCGAGGTCTTGGCGAGCCCCCCTAACCTTGAAATCATGAGCAACGAGACAAACAGAGAAGCGTCCAAGGGTCAGGGAGCGGTATTTATTGTCTGTCAAAAAACTGATCCAGAGCAAGAACGTGATGGTCACTGCAGGGAACCCGAGCCTGGTCAATAACCGCCACTCCATATCGCCTTTACTTATCTGGTGAACGAGAATCCGCCCCTTGATGCCTCACTTTTCCTCAGCCAGCTTCCGGGCTTGGGCAGCCGTGATACGCTCTCCCGTCCTGTCATAGTGCTTCGAGGCCAGGATCTGCCATTTTTTCTTGTCGTAGTTGTCGGCCCACGCTTTCAGACTGTGCGGTGATGAGCCAGGTTTCTTCGCTTTCTCGTCCGCCTTCGTGTCATCATCCTGGCTGCAATTAGTGCCGCGGGTTGGGAAACAGTATTTGTTTGCTTGAGCATACCTTCTTGTCAGACTCGGTGCTGTCTTGCTTCTGCTCCTCTGCCTTCTTTTCCTCTTCTTCCTTCTTGGCTTTGGCAGCCTCCTTTTCTGCTTTCCTCCTCAAGCCTTCCTCGCGGTTCCGCTTGGCTTTCTCCTCTTTGTCTGGAGCTGTTTCCTTCTTGCCTTCGCTCGAGGTATTCTTGTCGTCCGCTTCGGGTCGGTGGCTGATATGTTTCCAGCGTGCCTTGAGCTCACCCACGTTCTTGAAGTTGGTGGTTACGGCGAGGATCTCCTTCCACTGCGCTTGCGGATTCTCGCCTTTCATGCGTAGCAAGGTCCGGTCGTCCTCGGTAAGCTCAGAGTCATCCTTCTTGTCTTTTGACGGTGTGTCAGCATTGCCGCTTTTGCCGTTGTTGTCCGTGTCTTTGGCATCTTTCTTGTCTTCACACTTGCTGTCCTCCTTTCCCCTGTCCTTGACGTGAGCCTTGCCGCAGCATGAACACTAAACCAATCATCAGTACCTGCTACTCGATACAGAGCCCCTCCAAGATGTAGGATGTGAGTCTTTTGTAGCTGGGGCCTTTACCGTCTTTGGTTTTCTCGGCTTTGGATCGGGGACGCCCTTCATGGCGTCCCAGATGGACATTTTGATTGGGACTTGCCTGCCATCCGGCTTGGTGTACCACACTGTGAAAGACATGGTGACAACTACTGAGACACTTCTGAGTCGAAGCGCGAGTGTTGAGTGACCTAGACGTGCGATAGTTGACGGAACTGAAAAGCTGACAGAGGCGTTGGATGAGGAACACACGGGGTCGTGAAATGGAAAAGTTTACTTGTAGCCTCAGAATCTTATCACATGTGTCTGGCAGATCCATCCGAGTGAAGATGGTGTCACTTTGCTCATCGTGTTATGCGGAAGGCATGTTATGATCAGCCAGCACACATAGCCGATAGGAAGTGCCAGACGGCCGCCAAGCTATGTTGACCTTTAAGTCATCCCTTGGGCGACAGTTGGAAAAGTAGATTTCCCTGGCCCATCGGATGCATCTCTTGTTCATCAGAACTGCGGACAACCTCGTTGTTGTAGAGCTGGAGTATGAGTACCGACGTCGAGATTCAGTCTTCCGGGGCATTTTTCTCTGGCTCTACTTCCACAGCTTCTGTGAATAAAGCCTTTGTCTGCCGGGGGCATGAGGAAAGGGTGAGGCACGGCTTGGAACTTTTCGTCAAGAACCGGCCAAAGAAGTCGACCGTCTCCTGACGCTTGTAGAGTTCGGCGCATTCCAGGGCTGTCTCCCCGCAAGAATCCATGATATCTAATCGGCGCCTTTCCAGATACCCGTGCCTGGCTTCGGTATGAAGAGGAGTGCCGAGGCCGAATGGATATTGTAAGTTAGTTGAAGGTACGTCGTTCTGATACATAACCTCGTTGATCGGCACGCCCTTGTCGACGAGATAAGCCACGACCTCGACACGGTCTGGTAGTTCACGCCCTGTGGCATAGTGAATTAGCTGTCCTTTATAGATCGAACTGCTAGCATTGGGATCTGCGCCCTGAGAGAGAAACCAAGCAACCAAGTCTGCATTCTCACAGGCAAAACTGGCCGTTTTTAGAAGTATGACTTGATCTCAAACGTCATAACTTACGCCAGTAGTGGCGGAGTTGACCATTTCAACTGTTCGTTGATATCCTATCCACGCCTGAGGAATGATTCGAGTAGAGCCTAGTCATTATTATCGGCGGCAATTTTAGCAAGGAAAACAACTCGGGTAAGAGCCTTAGTTTAGAAGGCATTCGGTAACAGCCCTTTAACGATTCCGAACTGCATTGAATAGACTACTCGCTGAGTGTGTAATCCAGTAGTCGTCGGAAGGGATACCGCGTAACTGATCGAATATGTACTGCACAGTGGATAGATCTCCTTCTGTCGCCGCCTTTTCCACAACATTGAGGAGATGACGATCGGGAGGTGATGAGATGGTAGGCTTCACCACCTTCTTCTCTCCCAGGCCAGCGGTGAAGTCAAAGACGTCCTCGAGTTTGTAGGGAAGAGAGAGACTTTTCCCAATCCTCGATCTTTGTCGGATCCAGAGCATACACCAGTACCGCATTCTGGACCCGGTCCCAGTTAGCCAGGAGTTCGTTGAAACGCCGATCCACGACAAAGCCTTCAGTGGTATGTAGATGAATGAAGCTGGTGTTGGTTCCGTCTCTATCTTTGTATGACCGGACGGGCATGGCAGGCCTGGTCCCACCTCCACGGCGCAGATTTGATCACAGTTGCTTGTACGGATATGAGTGGTTGTGATTGGACCAAGACAAAACGCCGATATAAGCTAACACTGGTCTAGCTATATTTGTTTAGCGGCCGACGGCCCGCCCGCTCAGAGGCTCAAAGCTACTCGTTTTGTCTCTTGGCCGTTATACCCATATGGCTCGTGCCGCCCTCTTTGCGAGCGCAGACCCCAGGACGACCACTGCACCACCTATTACCCGTCGCAGGAGGCCACCCTGACCCTGTTGTTGGAATTCTTGTCATCGAATCACTCGGGCGGAAAGTGATCGAACATGAGATATGAAGGCTACATTACATCTTGTTGGGCGGTTAGATAAGGCGTCAGGTAGTACAGGCAACTGCTCCGAACAGCACCTACCACTGTGGCAGCCAAGACATCGATATATCCAGTACCTTCGGATCCTACCACTTCACCCCCTTTATACGTCTGCAGCATTATACGATCTTCAGACTCTCCACGGGAAGACTTCTCAACTCAATTGCAAACCTGTAGCTCGTGGCAGCCACTGTCATCAGTGACCACTCGGCTGAAACCCCGAACCATGGCGCAGACTATCTACCAGCATGCGCAAACCAACGATCGCACCGTTCATGTCCCAATGAATCGAGTGGATATTGCGTTCTGGTCACGAACTGACTATCTTTATACCGATAGTCTCAACGGATGCACTGCCGTCATCATCATCTCCCCGCACGCTGGTATTCTCGCACATATTGCGCCAAGACCATCAGGCGCCGAGCTCAATCACGTCAACGCTGAAGATGGCGATCGAAACCTCCGCGAGAAGATGCAACAGGTGATTGATCTTTACAACGCGAATAGGCAGTACTTCCAGGATGCGAGGACTCGTGTCGTCGTGGCCGTCTACCGGTATGCTATTGCATTACCAACCACAGTCAATACGATAGACGCCATCCTGAACCATCTCAGACTTCCAATCAGAACCAACCACTACGAGGTCCTTGAACCTAACTCGCAGCGTCCCTTTGGTCACACATATATTGTTATCGCTTCTCGAGGCTCTGGATATTGGCCCACGCTGTATGTCAACGAGCGGACGGTTGAATACCTCTGAGCCAGCCGGAGTGGCAAGGAAGACCTTGGTTGAATCATAGCCCACAGAATGGAGCGAAACTCTTGGTTTCCGGTCGACCGACACCGTGCAAAGACGTTTCGGTCTGCATTTGTACCGATACATACCACTCCACGATCCGTCGGAGAAGCGGACGTTTGAGCTGGAGAGCCCTGCTTCATTGCCAACCGACTGTATCCGCTTCACCGTGACATTGAAGATGATCGGCGACACAGAACGAACCACCTGTGTGCCTGGAGAGAGCCATTGGAAAGCCCGTGCTTCAAAAAGAGTGCAGGGACGACCGGTCTAGCGCTGGAGTTGGTGAGGCTACCCAGCATTTCATCGACACGAAGTTCTCCGGCGCAACAGACCCAATAGACAAAGTCTATGCGCTGTTAAAGAAGGAGAGGGAGAGGGACAGGGAGAGAGCGAGCCTAAACAGGTGGTAGTGGTGGCGTTCCAGACACTGCACAAAAAGAATACAGGCCGAATTCCTCTGGATCGATCACCCGCATCCACAGGGCCACATCAACTAGCTACAACCCGTTATTTGCTGCGTAACATCGATGGCCAATCTTATTGCACACCCCACACCAATTACCTGCCGGCTGCTACCTACCGGCTACCAGCCAGCATGCATGCATGCTTGCATTATTCCACAGTGATGCCATCAGACTCTGGCGGTCCCTTGTACGCCTTGCGGGCATAGATAAAGTACCAGACGGCAGAGATGAACATGAAGCCGACAAAGACGACGCTGGCATAGTTCATGGTCACGACCGTGACGGGCAGCGCCGAGGGCATGCTGAACAAGACGACCTCAAAGCTGATCCAGCACAAGGCCACGCCGTTCGCGATCGGCCCGATGATGCGCCCACAGTTCCACCGCGCCGTCGACACTTCGCGCCGCCGGTGCAGCACGCTGATGGTGATGGGGATTGCGTACGACACGGCCAGCCCAATCACGCCGACCGACACAAAGGCCAAAAAGGCCGATGATGACCCAAGATAGATCAGACCGAGCAGCATCTGCACCACGGTGGTGAGCATCAATGCGTACACGGGCACGCCGAGTCCACCGTTGACTTTGGACCAGACTCGAGACAGTGGGATGGCATCGTCCCGAGCAAACGCCCACGTGCATCGCGATGCCGCCGTGGTGATGCTGATGCTGCAGAACAATGTGATCATCAGGACGAGGAACTAGATACTGAGTTAGCGACAGCGAAGGTAAAACATGACAGGAGTCTCATCCCGAAAGAGGGTAAAGGAACTTACAATGAGGCCTAGTCCCCCTCCCGGTGTCCCCATGACCGTGCTGAAGATGTACGGGAGCGCCTGGCCGTATGGCGCCGCAATGATATCTTCCAACGGAGGCAGGGTGAAGCAGATGGGCAAAATGAAGAACAAGCCAGCGAAGCCCCCCACGGGCACACAGAGACTGATGGCTGTCGGAACCTTGACAGTAGGATTTGCGCACTCTTCCGCCATGGCTGAGATCATCCCGATAGCTGAGAATGTGTATGCTGCAGGCAGCAGCCCGATGAAAAAAGTGAAACCTCCCCAGCCAGAGAAGGACTTGTCGTAATGGCCGAGCGCGTAGCTTGCGCTGTGTCTCCCGACATCCGCCTTGACCGAGAGTGCGATGAGGATGATCAGGATGCTCACAGCTGTCCAGGCAGCGCAGATGGTGTCGACAACGGGCAGGAAGCGATTCGCAAAGGTGCAGATGAACAGCGTCATCAAGCAGATGGCGTAGAAAATCAAGAGCAATTGCCAGTCCTTTGCCACCCAGTCGGGATGATACATGGCCACGCTCGCCACAATGAGCGACGCGAATCCAAAATTGACCGAGAGGGCTAGTTATCTCCAGTCAGCTACTCGACTCAGGCAGATCCTTCAGGAAACCGCAGGTTCTAATATCGTGGACTTTCATCCCAATGTTCCGGGCATCTTGAAAGCCGCGCCTCCTCCTCCTTCTCCATCCATTGATAGAGGAAAACCGAGGAACTGAACACAGACAACGGCATCGAGAGAAAGGCCAAATACTTACTGATTGTCCAGTTGCCGATCAGCCACGTCCACCCCGTGATGAACGACAGAGTCGTCTTGCCCCTACTGGCCAGTTGAAAAGACCAATAGTACGGTCCAGCCGAAGTGGGATACCGCGACGCCAGCTCGCCCAAAGAGAGAGCAATGCATTCATCCAGCACGAGAACGACGATCCAGCCGACGAAGATTGCCAGCGGGCCACCGCCGTAGATTGCTGAAATGAACGGACCACCTTCTCCGTATGGGATGGCGGCAATGGCCAAAGACTGAAACAACAGCGTAGCCATGGATCGATTGCGGTTCAGTTCTGGCTTGTAGCCCAGTCGGTCCAGCACAGTGATATCATCGATGCTGCCGGCTCGAAGAGAGTTCTTTCTCCCATCGATGACGGGGACCTCCATCTCTGGAGCGGCCTTTTCCGTGTCGACAGTCATGGCGGCGGTGATGATCTGGAGGAGAGAAGGGCTCTGTCCGAGGACGCACCGGAATGGTTGGAGAGAGAGAAAGGACACGAGGAGGATAGAATTTATGGATTGATAGTTTCTGTCGAGGCAAGGGCGAGCTGGGCCCCTCTTATTGCGCTCGTCCACCTTCCATCGGCCGAAGATGCTGTCTCGATCCAATAAAGGAGTTTGCTAGTCTCTGAAGGAGGCGGAGGCGAGACTCATGAACCGATTCCCGAAATCATGATCCTAGAATAATATGGGAGGGGGTGTATGGTGAGCATGCAACAACAACTGATAGTAGCGCGATAAAGCATTCCGTTTGATATGGGGGACTGGGAAACATACCCTCTTTGGGCTTAGACGGAGTGGATGCTTGATTACCAGCCTTCCCCCTTGGTGTCCGTTGACTCGATGGTCCCCCAGACTAAGCTCTTATCAGCACCCAATCATTGCTGGGGGAAGGGTTGCTTAGCCCCCTCCGTCTTGGGATAATAGCTATCTTGAAATCCGGGTTGGTGAGAAGCCTGACAACACGACAGGTGTCATTGCTCTCGAGAGGGAGTGGAGAGGGGGGGGTGGTCCGCGTCCCCTCGTGCCGAGTAGTCCTTGCTAAATTTCCTGGAGAAACCCCGTCGGCCATGATGGAACAATGACACCAAGGGCACTGTCCGCTAGTGCAGAGGCGCCGTCGCTGTGACCCCAAAAAACCATCTGTCACGTCCAACAGATGCAGGTACCCAGGCAAGGGTATTGTAGGTCGACTAGCACGACCGAGCCGGTCAAGCACCGACGGGGCATTCTTGGATCTCGGAAACTGTGGAGAAGGGAAGGCGACAGCGAGGTAGAGCCCTAGCACCGTCCTGATACAGACCAGACCCCAGTCTAGGAGCCTACCCGCTGCCCAGACCGTGGGCTCGATCCGGCAGATTGCAGGCGAGAGATAAGGCAAGAGGCAAACAAGGATAAGAGAGACTCCGCCGCAGCCTTGTGAAGCTAGGTATTCTCATTGCGAGATTCAATTATTGTTGTTGTTGTTGTTGTTGTTTGCCTCCCTTTTTTTGTTTTCCCCCTTCCTATCGTCCTCGGGTTCGCCCCAGTGTGAGGTCAAGGGGTTTTCGCGTTTCCGTGCCATGGTCGTGGTCTCAGACGTCCAGAGGGCCTGGGAGGCCTGTGATCGGACAGACACGGTCTTCATTCTGGTCTGTACCGTCTTCTGCTGGCCCATCATTCCCGCTGTTGGACTCGGCTACAGCGGGTATTCCACGCGACGGAGTGGCCTTGCCTCGTTCATCCCAGCTGTCTTGACCGTCTGCGTCTGCTCCATCCAGTGGTTCATCGTCGGCTATGCCCTTGCCTATGGGGATGGCCCCGGGGGTGTCATTGGCGACCTCAAGTATGCCTTCCATCGAGGCGTGCTGGCCGAACCTGTCGGGAGTATTCCGGCCGTACTGTTCAGCGAGTTCCAGTTGGTGTTTCTAGCCACAGTCTGTGCCATTGCCATTGGAGGCGCTTGTGAACGTGGTCGCATACTTCCATTGATTCCTTTCATCTTTGTATGGTTCCCCCCCCCCCCCGGCTTCCCTTTTGACAGCTCGATTCCTGCCCACTAACCATATCCATCCAGCTTTGGTCCACCTTCATCTACTGCCCTCTTGCTCACATGGTCTGGGGCGGAGGTTCCTCAGTGAGCTTTGGGGTGCTTGACTTTGCTGGTGGGACGCCGGTACACATCT